TACCTAAATTAACAATTATTTAAAACTAAATAAAAAAAAATCACTTAATATAATATATAGACGGAGAGAAAAAAAAAAGAGAGAAAGAGAGTCAGAAAGAAAGAAAGTTAGAAGCAGTGACAACGCTAAGAATTGTTCGATGCCATCCGACCTTTACAGTGCAATATTTAACGTTTCTGGCCATAACCTTCTTCAAAGCATTTTGACATTTGAGTCCGATCCGAGTTGTGTCTCAGCAAGAAAACGTAAGTAACTCTTCAAAATTTTCGCGGGCCAATTACTTACAACCACTGGCGCTGATTACCACTTTGAGTATGAAGCCCAGCCATTCAGTGTTTGCAACAGAGGTGCAACGCGTTCAAACGGGACCGCCGTGCAAGGCCGGAAAGTAAATAGAGGTCATATGTATGAGTTTTTCAAGATGATCCAAATCCCAATTGATCGCTTGTCTTTCGGGGAAGCTGCTCATGTTCCAGGATAATTATGAATGATATGCAACTAGGGAGGGAAACAAACAAGCGTCGCTGGAATATTCTGCGTCAAAGCAATGCAAGCTCTCACGCAACGCTTCTAATAATCGGTTATTGCATAAGTTAAAAAACCGAATCAATGCGTCATCCGGCGGACAGGCGCGAATTGACATCAAATGATTTCATTTTGCTCCCGATCACAAGATAATAATAATAAAATGGATGAAAAACGATTTTCCACCACGCTTCAAACATATCTCAATGGAACGAAATCAAACCGATTTTATGACAACTCGTGCGGGGTTCGTATGCCGAATGGCAATTTATTTATCTGTTTTTTTTTTTCATTATTAAATTTAAAATATAAATACAAGTGCCCCACGCATGAAATGCATTTATTGCACACAAAACGTTTGCTTCTCTCTCCTTTATGCCTGCACTTGTGGTATTTTGGAAAAAAATAAGGCAAACTTGTCACATTTTAGCTTCTCTTTATTAAAGATTTTCATTTAAAATTAGATTTTCATTTATTCGCTTATGCGCTTTTCTTTTTGATATTTCTTTATCGTTTCCTCGAAAATCTAACGGAAGTATTTCTTTGGTAAATGAATAAAAACAAAATCAGAGTTTCACATAAAATAATTAAAAAAAAAAAAAAAAGAAAAAAGGAAATGCATATATATAACAAAAATAATTTTTATAACTTTTGTTGAAGTATTTATTATTTTCTGGGTTTTTTTTTTTTTGTTTTTTGTAAGAAAAACAGGTGCACTGCGGAAAACTATTGCAAAAAAGGTGATTGCTTGTTAAGTAATGTTTTTATAATAGTTGTTGTTACTTTATTATTATTATTATTATTATTGCTTGTTTTACGATAACTTAAAAAAAAAAAAAAAGAAAAGGAAAACAACAACTTTTTCTGAATTTTTTTAGCTTTAATGTTATTCTATAATTTTAATTAACTTTAATTTTTTTTCTTTTACCTTTTTAAATTTACTTTTTAATTTGTTTTCCATTTATTTATTTGCTTCTTTTTTTTTCTCAAACCTTAATTTCTATTGTCTATTGGTTTTCGCTTCTTATTTCTTTGTATTTTTCTTTTTTGTTGTTATTTATTCTCTTCTTGTTTTTTGCGCTCAGTTAATTGTTGTTGATTTTTGTGTAAGTACCGATATGTTGGTTTTTATCCACTGAACTATGTTGCTGTTGCTGTTCTTGCTTACGTTTTTTTTTTTTTTTTCGTTTTCGTTTTTGTGTGTGTGTGTGTGTGTGTGTGTGTTTTTTTTTTCTTTTTTTTGTTAGCTTTAGTGTTTGTTGTTCCTGTGTTTTTAGGTATTTTATTGTTTGTTTTTTTTTCTTTTTTTTTTTTTTTTTTTTTTTTTTTAAAAAAAAAAATATTATTTTAGGAAAAATTCTTCTTTCGTTTTTGTTAGTAAAAGTTTTTTTTTTACATATTTAGAAAAAATATTTTATTTTATATAAAAAATTCTTTAAAACTTATAAGAAAAAAACATTTAGATAGAGTTGTAGTAGAAGTAGAGCACAAAACTAGAAAAAAAGTTGAGGCATTTTTGCATATTATAATAGTATATACCCACCACTAGAGTAAACAAAATTGAGTTCTTAAAATAAACTAATTATGGCGACAGGCCCGGAAATGGGTCTCAAGGCAAATGCTTTGAACTTTTCTCATTCATTTTAGCCGGGTTTTTTTTTTTTTTTTTTTTTTTTGTTAAGTGCACCTAACATATTTAAACGTAATCGTCGAGTCGCTTTTTCACATAGATTATGTTGAATAAATTCTTGAAGGAATTTGTTCGAAAATTCTTGTTCATTGAAAATCAAATAGCGTGAGACATAGTTTCGATGTCATACGGTGAATTAATTTACTCACAGCATAATTTATATTAATTGGCCTTAAGTTCCTTTACCAATTTTTATTCTGAATAAAAGTGTAAGCCAAAAACTTGCATCGAATTTCATGTGCAAAGACGGCGTAAATGAAGCACAAGACTTACGGTAATGACTCCTTACCGGCACGTAGTATATATGACATAAAGTATTTAAGAAGAAATCGTGAAATGGGTGCATTTTGCTCGTTATGATCACGAACCGATGAGCAAATTATCGACAAATTTACTCATATTACGAAATCTTCTTTCAAATTTAAGCAAGATAACTCGACATTATCACTCAAGCACCGATTCGTTGCAGTTTCGTCAGTGGCGTTAGGGCATGTGCTTCGCATTCCAGCTGCGCTTGCATCCAGGATAATCAGTTTTTATTTTTTTTTATTTTAAATAGTGAAATGCATAGTTGGTCTCTGAAATCTTTCTTGAGAATCTTAACTCTAATTAAACTACTTGGGCTGACTAGGAATAGACCACCCGTGGTAGTAAAATATTTATCTTATTTCACAACTCAACTGCACGCACAACGTAATACCGAAAAAGCTTCGTTAAAAATGTTAGAGATACTCTAAAATGGCTTGCAAGCAACGATTAAAACATTTTATATGTCATCGATCGTACGCCGGGCTCGTCAGGTATGCCTCCGTGCGAAGTGTTACGATTCCGTCGTTTAACTCAAGTTACGCTTTCATAACAGACAATTTTGAGAGGTTAAGGCGCAGAAAGTAAGGCGTGCATATGTTTAATTGCAATGGATTATGTAGAAATTGTAAATAACTAATAATCGGGAGAAGAACGATAGAAGACTAACAAGCCTGCTTAAGTGGTGCGTATTGGAGATTCGCCTTACGACGAAATTAGTTTCTGTTTACATTTATTTGCTTATTTTCTTTTACATACGGATTAATGCTGGAAAACTTTTCTCAATTTCTTTTCTTTTTTTTTTTTTGTTTGTTTTTTGTTTCTGGTTTGGAATTTTTTTAATACATTCTTAATATACATATATACTAAACATGTAATAAATTTAACAATCTTCACCCGTATACAAGTTCTGGTCTAATTTATAAAAAGAAAAAGGACAAAAAAAAAAAAAAAACAGAATAAAAAATAAAAAATCATTCCCTTTCAAATCATGGCAAACGAACAATTGCTTGCAAAAGATTTGCAATCAAAGCCGATAGAAAGTATGCGTACTTTATTTTTCAAAATGCATATCTGGTGTTATTTTGATAATGTGAGCATATCAGAAAAAAGGAAATACCTGTAGTTCTCGTAGACATATAAAAAATGCAAAGTTTTTGATATATATACTTTCTATCTGTTTTTATTATTGGTGTGAGACAAAAGGACAGATATTTCTTTGAAGTATGAAAGTATCTCAAATGACGTATAATCTGCTTATCCCTAGGAAAACTCTCTTTTTTTCTCTGAAATACTTACTATGAAGATATGGAATCGAAAAGACAAAGTCATATATATATACGTACATATATTTTAATTTTAAGCAGGAAAGCATGTTTCACGTTATCGTTAATAGGTGAAGAAATCATATATTAGACAGAACACTCATACGACATATATACCAGATTTTTTTTAATTGTTGAGTTCATTTTCAGTAATTAGTAATCTCTCCCTGCTGCTTATAAAAGAATTGACTTCCACGCTGTATTTATAAATGATTGTTACTTTATCCCTATATTTCTTTTTCTTCTTTTTTGTTTGTTTGGTGTTGTGTACGCGTGTGAAAGAGTTTCTGATAAATGATTTACTTATGACTTTTTCTGTTTATTGTATACATTTACATGTATATTCGTGTGTGTGTGTGTGTGTGTGTGTGTGTGTGTGTGCGTGTGTGTATGTACATACATATATAGAAAAGAATTTATATAAAATCTTAAGAAATTTCATTTTCTCTTTTAAGTTTCTCAATAATTTCTTATTGGTTCTTTATTTTACAAAAGTGCAAGAGTAACGATTGTTAACATCAAATATAAAAAAAAAACAAATAGTTATACGCTAATTACGTTACGTTAATGGAATAATGAGATCAATATAAAAATTATAATAATAATAATACAATAATAATAACAAATATAAATTGAAAATAAATAATATATTAAACTTATAACTACAAATAAGTCTTAATGATCAAGCATAAGCTGACTTGAAAGCTTTCTAAAATCTATTTAAGTGTAAACTAATACTGTAAGGAAGCGCTTCTACGTTTTTTGATTTAAAAAAGGAATGTAAAGAAAGACTATTTACTGTTATTTAGTCATTGTTATTTTCATAATTATTATTATTATTATTATTATTATTTTTGCTGTTTTTGTTGTTTTTGTTCTTGCAGTTTATTCATTTGCTTTTATTATATTATTATTATTATTAGTATTATCATTATTAAGTAAGTTACTATCACTCTATTTATAAATGTAGTTAATTGTTGTACTTGAAACAAATTCCATGAAACTGATGTTTATATAGTAAAGTGCGTATTGTATGTAGTTTTTGTTGTTCTTGTTTTTGTTCTTGTTGTTGTTAGCATTTATTTTTTTTTTTATTATTTCTAACAATAATAGTTAATAAAAATTTGTAAACCATTCAGAATTTAGAGTCTTACGTCAATAATGTTTTGATTAATCCATTTTCGGGGAGGAGCTTCGAAAAATCTCTTCAACTTTTGTGCGTGTAGCTTGTACAACCAGCATATGTTGGCAGGGAAAATCCCATATAACCGTAAAATGAAACAACATATTGGCGATAGCGATTAAATATTCGAAGAAGGCAAACCAACTGAAAGCTGTAGCAAAAACAAAAAAAAAAAAAAAAAGAAAGAAAAACAAAACAAAGGCAACAGAAAAGGAAAAGGGAAAAATAATTTATACAAATCTGTAGAAATTTTCAATACGTCTACTTTTTTATTTTGATTTTAAATTTTATTTTTCTACAGTACTTACCCAAGTCGTGGCAATAGAAACGATGTTTGGCAAAGAATATCAACAGGCCCACAGTACTAATAATAGACATAGCGAAGAGTATTTTCTTCCATTTAATTGAATCTCTTTGGGTCTGACTCAGCTCGGTATGATCCTCGTGTAAAATGCCATTCAATTTAATAGTGGCCAGCATATGACATAATGAACAAATCATAAAAGTTATAAAAATTTTCTCATGTATAGCTAAAAAGATAATTAGAGAAAGAAAGATTGGTTTTTTTTTTCATAACAACAAAATAAGAAATAATCCATTAAAAACACTCACGATAATTTTCACGATTTGATATATATGTGACACCACCCAGCGAAGCAATTTCAATGCAATTTAATATTAAAATCATTGTTATCATTGAGTTTATATTAGCTAAGCGTTCCGTCTGCATTTTGGTTTGCATTTTCTCTAACATTGTGCGATAATAGTTTTTGTATATGAATGCTATCGGTATGCGCGGTCCCAAATGTAAGGCGATACTGAAACGCCAAAAATAACGTTGAGGACTAACGCCCGTAATTGCACTTATCGACGGCACAATATTATAAACCTATTGAAATAATAGAAAATAGTTTTATATTGAAAAATTTTATTTCATCTTAATTGCAACTAACTTACCCGACAATGTGTCTCATGAACTTCATCATATTGGAAGACGTATGCGGTTACAAAACACGTAAATAGTGTAAAGAGTGGCAAGAGTGCAGTAAATATGCAAACATGTTGAAAATTCACTAAATAGTAAATGGCGAGCGGTACATCATTTGGATTTTCTACGATTGGTGTAGAGATTGTTGCTATTGCTGTTGCTGTTGCTTTCGTCACTTGCAAAGGATCTACAATGGACTAAACATAACATTCAATGTGCAAATATGACAAATTTTCTAAAGCAGTTTTCATCAATCATCAACATTTTTCCTAAATGCCGAATGGCTCCCACACACACACACACACACACACACACACACACACACACACACACACACACACACACACACACATATGTAAATCCATCACACACATAAACATTTTAATATACTCCAAAAACTTGCACAGAAGCAAGTTTTTTTGCAAAAAAAAAAAAAATAAAAAATAATAAAAATATTATTTGATAATAATGCCAACTTAAGTCAGGAGATAGCTATGATAGCATAAGTTTTAATACCAAATGCTATTTGAAAGGTTAAGATAAGCGCACTGTATCCGCAAACATAAAAGTCTGACCACTTAAATTAAACTTTTTTATTTCATTTAAATATATTGAGGAGCTGGCATTTTTTACTGATCTATACGTAAAATGTTCGGTTGGTGAACACAACTTATGAGTGATAATAGCTCCGTTTCTTCTACGGCATACATAGACAGGTTCTGCAGGAATAAGTGATAATCCATACGATCGAAAGCGGTTCAAAAATCGAAAAATACACTAGCAGTAGCATTGAAGTCTTTATCTAAGCCTTTGCATATAGAACACCAGTTTTGTCCTCTCAGGGTGCAATTTCAAGTCTAAAAGTTGCGTCTCCTTCAACACAACTCTTTAATAGTAAATCTTGTTGAAAGGAATAACAAATAAGCATATATTATGCGCAAACAATAAATTCTTACCAGTTGGATTAAGGCAGGAGAGCAACCGATCTAAACCGTTTCGTTGCGATGCTGCATACAGCATATTTATAAAATCGGCAACATTGTACTTTCGTAACCAGTAGAAGTTGTTAAGAGAACTTAAACTCACGATGCCCGCTGACATTCCGGTTATTTATGCGTGAACCTGCGCTCACCAGAGAATGAAACAATCCCTATAAAGTAGGGACCCCACTACAACTGGAGTACCAGATTGATTGATTGTTGAGGCCGATCGTCAACTCCAATTATTCGTGTTAGGAATGATTGAAAAGTACAACTACCGCGATAGATAGCGAGTGGGCGCCTGACTCCTGTCGAGTTTAAATTTAGGCAATAAGGCCTTTGGCACTACTTTACACGACCGCACACATGGTTGCTTTTGCATTTACCATACTTTCGCGATTAGCCAAACCCAAAGTATCCTTTCTCGAGATACGTGTGGATCGGCTGATGCAATTGACATGACCTGCCCCCTGCTCTCGACTCACTGCGTTTTTACCTCCTCCATAGAAGTAGCCTATGACAAAATCATCAATAAGACCTTTAAACTGATTAAATTTATACGAAGAGTAAGCGCTTCCGATATTTACGCTCATTACGTTTAGGCAGCTTGCCTTCATTCCGCAAACATTACTTTTGAACTATGAAAATTGTTTAAAATTTTGACTTTTTGTCGTATCAGTATTAGCCAAATATTATTTAAATATAGTTACGTATGTAGCAAAAATTGAAAAAAAGAGAAACAAAACATCATTATGGGATAGAGTTCTGACTCGGCGCTATCAACGTCGTCATCAGTAGGATTTCGACCAGTTTAAATTGTACTTTGAGCTGGTAATCTGCGTCCCCAATGCTTGTTTGTTGTCGAATTTAAAGACATTTCTCTCTCACTCTTTTTCGATAAGTTCTACTACTGCGCGCATATACATATTGAAACTCAGAAGACGCGTGAGTTTGGTCAGAATATGTCAAAGATTGAACAAAGGTTCTTTATTGAACACAAGATAACATGGGCAGACATTAGGCAGACGAACAGATTGTTGATCAGTACATTTTTTTTATTTTTTTATTATGTCCAATCACGTAAGAAGTAATGTTTCCAACAGTTGTAACGCAGTGATAGTGAGAAAGAAGTGAGGAAAGGGCAGGGGAAACTGAACTCAGCTGAGCGTGGGTGTGTACTTAATCGGAAAGCGTTATGTTTTTACCGTCTACCCATCCAAAGTAGCTACGACCAAAGTCAACTCTACCGTTCAGAACGTGAAAGCTATGTTTTCCTTGAAATTTACAGCTGCTTCCAGGGGTTCCAAAAAAACAATGCCTATTTGAAGTGAATATATTCAAAAGAATGATACGATCGTTCAACGGATAAGAGACCAAGGAAAAATTCAAAATATGTGCTGGTGAGTTTGATGTTAATTGTGAATTTGACTATCGAATTGTACGGGTTCCCACCGTTTTCTCCATCAATTCGCAACAGGAAAAGTGCAAAACGTGGAATTCTGTCAGCCAGTAAGTAAGACCAAGCAAAAGTATTTTAAAGAGACGATGCGGGTTCATTGGGAAACCATATTTCATCTTACGTATCCGCTAACAGGTGCACTTACTCACTTATTTCTTAGTCGAGTAGGCAAAGGATCGTGACTAGCAACCCAATGGTTGCGCATTCAAATCTCAAGTGCGGTAGTGTTTGCAATACAGACGAGCATATAATCTAAGTTATTCGACAGCCTTTCAATCCATATTTTGTAAATTTATTTACAAAATGTATAGACAATAAATAAATAAATAAATAAAAAAACTTTAACAGAAAAAAGGGCCAAACAATTAACAGTAATAGCCATTCAAAACATAAGAAGTATTTGACTTCTAACCCAATGATTTTTTTTCAGTGAAATGACATAATCAATTTTCAACTCAATGAAATTGCCTAATGTATCGCAATAAAATGGAGCCATATAAAGAAATCCTCCGCACACTGAAGCCTACCGAAACACCTCCAAACGTCTCAGGCACATGCGTTCTAATTACAAAAATATATAGATGAACAGTAACTGCGATACGTAATCCATTAATTAATATTTTTCGCGGTTACTTTAAAAATACCTTCTACCAATAATCAGATTCAGCGGGTATTCGAATCACTGGCTATGCTGTATGTGTTACGAACATTTGACAAATCAAATATAATTTCAATCGATCCAATACTATCGGACTTAGACATACGTTTCTTATAGAACGTAAGTTCAAATTTTGTTGACTATCGCTGGTACCTCTGTTACCGAATTACGTCCGTTTTCAACGTTAGAAAGCCATATGCTGTGATCTGTAAATTGTAGCTTTTTCTATCCATTGTGGACAGATCACATTCAATTAAAAAACATTTAATTTATTTATCAACTACCAGCTTAATTTTACGTTTCGGAAAGTTTCAACGTTAAATGATCAGCAAATAGTAAATACCGATAGGAAGATGAAGTTGAAGAGGTGATGTGTCTTCACAAATACATATCGGAGATAAGTGTAAGCTAATATGTATTTTAGCCACTGTAATGCACCAAAAACATAACATGCACACGTTTGGTTCATGTAACATACCCTTAAAATATCGTCCTCCATAAAACATACTCAAAGAGCGAACGTCAAGACATAATAGAAAGACTATTACGCTTAAAGTTGTGCAAGATAAATTTACAAATTTTCGATGTTTTTTTACACGATGCGAGAAGTGATGAAAAAAATTCAATCAAACTTTGACGTTCTAGAAGAAAGTCTTTTCATCGCTTCTGCTATTCACATTAGTTGGGGATATAAATTGTTTATGTAGTCTCTGACGCGTATTTGTATTTATTGCAAAAATTTGCTACACTTTTTATAACAATTTTTGCATAAATTGTAAGAAAAAACATATTCCATAAAGAAAAGCAAAAAAAAAACCAATTAAAAACTCATGGTAGAGCAAAGCCGACTGTATACGAAATACGAAAAATTATAGCTTGTTTACGTATAAACGTTGATTTTTCATGACAATCTTTTTACGGAGAGGCTTCGAAAAAGATATCTATGTAGTACAAATTTTTTACAGTTAATTTTTTTTGATATAATATTAAAGTAAATCTGATAGACCAACTTTCATAATAAAATATTAAAAATTAAATCTTTTCGTCATACTGTTATGTCAGAGGATGTTGACAAGATGCCCCCATCCGAGATGAATTTTATTCCTTGGCTTAATGTGGCAAAATACTACATTCCATTAATAAAGTACGTCAAATTTTTATTTATATCGGTTTTTTTAAAATTCGACATTATAGGGAGAGAGACTGTAAAAATTATCCGATTCAGGTAATTCTCAATAGCGTCCATCCTCGGGTCAAAACATGCGAATGAAGTCAATCCCATAACTGGAACATAATTATATTATAGACAGAGCACATTGCATATATGGACAGACATAAGACTGAAGTACACATTTAATTTGACTCAAAAAATGGTTTTGATCCGGCTGATATAATTAATGGTAGGACTATTTCGCACAAATTATTCTAGGTGTTCCATATACCCTTGTGTAGGGTACAATTAAAATAAATTCACAAATTTATTTTAAAATTTGTTTAAATTTGCTTTAAGGATTTTTTACATTTTATGAAACATTGGACACAAGGTCAGCGAAATGTTTTCATCGTAGATATACATAGATGTGAAAGATGGCAATCTCTCGCACCTCGTTTCAAATAACTCGATTCTAGAGATGTCTTGATTGATGTTCTGATTGGAGACATTTTACATATTTTTATCCAAATGGCCACCCAATAGTATTTGCCAGCAAAAATACATTAAAAACCATATAATAGAGATACTTAAAAGTTTCCAGTCCAAAATGCTTCGCAAAATTGCGAACATTCTCAAGGCAGTCCACCTCGATTTACAAGCTTTCTCTACTAAGGTCAAAATTACCTACCTTATCTAGAATCCTATAAAGCTCAAATTCTCTAATCGAATGGAAGAGCATCGTAAGGCTCATCAATTTTTAAAGTATTTTAAATTAGGATTATTGTTGGATCATCGAAGCAAGAATGAATTTTACCTGATCCGTCATAAAAGAGATATCATACAACAACAATGTTTAAATCAATAACCACTATATAAAAATAGCTTTTCCAGTAATGTAAGCTTATTTCATTTGTGGCCATACCAAGTGTGGTCAAGTTGCACTTTGGTATTTCAATCTTTTTGACCTTCAAACTTCCGACAACATAAAAAAGCGTACTTAGTACAATTCGATTCTGATTCTCAAATCAGCATCTATTATTTGTTTTTCACTTTACCTTTTTATTAATTAATGATAAGTTTACCTCTTGTACGCATTTCGGAATGTTATAAATGGAATGACAAAGCGAATATAACAACTTTCGGTAGTGGGCATAAAGCAATAAAGCGCTAAAGAATATGTAAAAACATCAGGAAAAATCCGCCAACATTTTACGTATATTTATATATGCATACACATGTGCATATGGAACCTCGAAAATTTTCAATTAACATATAAAAAAGCAAAATGATTATTGCTTCTAATGAGCAAGAAATGCTACAACAAACATAGCCATGAAAAGAGGTAAATAAACAGATTAACATCTATATAAATACATTGTATATATATATATGTATATATATACAGTGATGAGCATAATTGTGAAGAAAAGAGCAAAAACATTAAATCAACAGCCAAAGGGTGAAAATACAACAAATATTCTGTTAAATGAAATCTTTTTCAATGCTAACGATTATGATACTGTACAAGAACGTTCGACAAAAAATATAGAAACAGAATGAAAATGTGGGGCAGAGGCAGACAGACAGGCAGAAAGGCAGAAAGACAGACGGACAAACGGACGAAGAGAGAGAAAGAGAGAGAGAGAGAGAGAGAGAGAGAGAGAGATGAAAGATATCTGTAAAGATAATAAGAGCAAAAGTGTCAAAATACAAAAGAACCGTTTCATAAAGACTAAGGGCAGCACACTAACGATGTAATAAAACGAGTTGATTATGTAATCAAATGAGATATGAAATGTATTTTTCTCTTAAATATGTGGCAAATTATTGTACATTTTTTTCATAATTGGTCGCTTACTTGACTGATTGTACTTTTGATGTTACGCAAATGTACTTCCGTTTCCTCACCACCGCTTTTAACAGGAGCTAATGATTTGGTGCTATCACTACTTATATTTATTGATTCTGATTTCGGTTCATTTTTATTTGAAACACGACGTTTAACACTTGAATCACGTCTTTCACTCATTTTTCATTTGCAATTCTTTACTAAAACCTATGTTAATTTTTTTGTTATTCAGTTACAAAATTGTTATAGAAAATTTTCGCACATACACGCATTCTTAACACCCACGTTTATAGCATTTAGGGTTTCATTTCATGTTTTCCTTTCAACAAAAAAAAAAAAAACAAAAAACAAAAAACAAAAAAAAAGATTACTTCTCAATGATTAATGTTCGTTTAGTTTTATTGCACCGTTAATCTATTCCATTTTCTATTTGAATTAATTAATTTTTGTTTTTTTTTTTTTTTTTTTTTTTTTTTTTTTTTAT